GCTATTTGACCCCCTTTTTACTAATTGATATTTAAATAGTGTAATCACATAATTTATCAATACACGTTAACGACTAATTACATCGGGTGATTTCAATTTTTTCAGCTTTAATCCCTTTGTATCAAATTAACCAAAATACAAAAGAAAATTTAGAGCAAAAAGCTATAACTAATAGCAAGAATAAATATTACATTTCCCTCATAATAACCTTTGTATCAAACTGATATTCGCTGTATACATGAATGCATTTAATAGATTTAATACAATTTTAATTGAAATTTCCATCATCATGAAAACATCAGTGTGGTGTGGCACGAGTCTGATCCTTAACTATGACGAGTAGAACCTCATCACGAGAAAATTTGTTGTTTTTTAAAATAGTTGTTTTGAACTTTGCATGTATTTTCATACCTACCTGAACGCACAAGTGTTCAAGTTATCATTAAAAATATATTTTTTAGGTATCTGCCTTTCAGTGTTCTGTTCAAATTTGAAGTGTAAGATATTAGAAACAAACTTTTCTTTAAATAACAATTTTCCAGCGACTCAAATATCTCTAATATCAAAGTATACAAATTTGGAAGCTTAAATTAGATATTAGTGAAACAATATCCAATAATTCTAAAAGTGTAAATTCGAGTCACAAAATAAGACGGTCTCATTAATATCTGTTGATCTTTAAGATATCTTTTTCTGCAAATGTTTTCACAGGTGTAATGAATGGAATCGTCATGCAGAAGTTTTTTTGATAAACTCAACCGAGCGGCACACACGGCAATGTCTCTCACAAATCTGGCTTATGTCTGCCATAAGGCTAAAAGACATTGACAATTGCCGATAGGTCACCCCCACGGTGCCACATGGTTCGTTTGTGCCGCTCGGGTCAATGTACATGTCAAATTCATTTAAACAGCTCAACATGCATATTTATTAATGTCGTAATTAGAGTCTTTATCAGCGATTTTTGTCATCCATTATAATTATGAACTACCTACTACCGTCATTCTTATAAATTTCAAATTATTTAAATCACATTTCTTGAAGCTGATTTTTTTATTTCGCAATAACCAAACGAAAATTCGAAAACGTTGCAAATAAAATAGCGAATACATCCAGGAAAAAGTAACAAATGCTTAAAAAAATCATATTTTCATTTCAACATATCGATTTATTTCATAATCTTCTTTGAAAACTTATGGAGTTGGAATTTCTGGAGTTTCCACAGTTTCACAACCGAGTGCCTGATAATCAGGACAGCAATCACCAGGAGAAGGTTGAGCATTTTCACAACCTGGTGGTGGGTATGAGCATTCCTTCTGCTCACAAGAAACTTCTCCAATATCTCCAATATTATCACAAAAACAAACACTGCATGGATCATCAACAGGAATGTAGGATCCAAAATCATACACTGTTCCATCAACCATACAGCCACAATATGATAACTCAGGACAACATTGACCAGGAATATTTTGATAAACACATCCTTCTTGTGGATATGAGCATTGCTTCCGCTCACAATAAACTGCTCCATAATCACAGTAACAAGAACGACATGGATCGTCATGAGGAACGTCAGAATCAAATGAGTACAATATGCCATCAACCATACAACCACAATATAATAACTCAGGGCATAATTTACGAGGAACATTTTGATAAACGCATCCTGGTTGTGGGGGGCATGCGAATTCTGTCAAAAATAAGCTTGAATGTATGTTTATTACAATAATAAAATTAAGGATTTCTTACCTATCGATAATGCTGGAGCTATTGTAAATGAGAATGTTCTTATTTTTAGTAACTGGTGAAACTTTTAACAGATCAGAAAATTATTTACTCACCTGATGGCACACACGTTAAACAAAACCATAAAATGATAATTTTCATTATATTCGAAGTTGTTACTTCAAAACCACAATGAAAGATGAGTGAAAAAACCCAAGAATATCTTCTTTATACTCATCAAAAATCANTTCTGGAGTTTCTATAGTTCACAACCGAGTGCCTGATAATCAGGACAACAAACACCAGGAGAAGGTTGAGCATTTTCACACCCTGGTGGTGGGTATGAGCATTTCATCGTGTCACAAAAAACTTCTCCATAATCACAGTAACAAGAATTGCATGGATCATCATTAGGAACGAAGGAATTATGAGGATAATCTGTGGCATCAACTATACAGCCACAATCCACTAACTCAGGGCAACATTTACCAGGAACACTTTGATAAACACATCCTGGTTGAGGAGATGAGCATTCCTTCTGCATACAAGAAACTTCTCCATCGAAATCACAGTAACAAGAATTGCATGGATCATCATCAGGAACTTCGGATTCGAAATCATACACTGTGCCATCAACCATACAGCCACAATATGATAACTCAGGACAACATTGACCAGGAACATTTTGATAAACACATCCTTCTTGTGGATATGAGCATTCCTTCTGCATACAAGCAACTTCTCCAATTTCATGACAGTAGCAAGAAAGGCATGGATCATCATTAGGAACGTCGGCTTCAAAATCATACACTGTGCCATCAACCATACAGCCACAATATGATAACTCAGGACAACATTGACCAGGAACATTTTGATAAACACATCCTTCTTGTGGATATGAGCATTCCTTCTGCTCACAAGAAACTGCTCCATGATCATGACAGTAGCAAGAAAGGCATGGATCATCATGAGGAACGTCAGAATCAAATGAGTACAATATGCCATCAACCATACAACCACAATATAATAACTCAGGGCATAATTTACGAGGAACATTTTGATAAACGCATCCTGGTTGTGGGGGGCATGCGAATTCTGTCAAAAATAAGCTTGAATGTATGTTTATTACAATAATAAAATTAAGGATTTCTTACCTATCGATAATGCTGGAGCTATTGTAAATGAGAATGTTCTTATTTTTAGTAACTGGTGAAAATTTTAACAGATCAGAAAATTATTTACTCACCTGATGGCACACACGTTAAACAAAACCATAAAATGAAAATTTTCATTATATTCGAAGTTGTTACTTCAAAACCACAACGAAAGATGAGTGAAAAAACCCAAGAATATCTTCTTTATACTTATCAAAAATCAATATCACCTCATTTTGATGAGAAACTTCTTTGAGTAATGAGAAGTAAATTAAGTTTTGCAGAACCCAACTAAGTATTTCTATCGAATAAAGTCATATATTGAGAGATACTAAAATTAAATTAAGAAAGAAGTAGAAAAGATCAAATTTCTCTCGATTTCTCAAAGTGATAAAAATGTATTCGAGTTTGAACTTGTCTGAACTGAGCATATCCACTCCTCAAGCAATTGGATCGATTATAATTTGATTGATCAGTTGATCAATTGCATTCTTACCAATGTTGGTAAAAATCTTTGTCTCTATGTAATTATATTATTTTCCGAAAAAGTATATAAAAGAAAATAAATAACAATTTCTACATGAATGACTTTGATAGTTTCACGAAGAAGTCATTAATTCTTTATGCTTTTTAGTGTTCTGTTCAAATTTGAAGTGGATGACAACACGAACAAACTATTCTTCAAATAACAATTTTCCAGCAACTATTTTACTTCTCTGTAGATCAGAATCAAATATTTCTAATATCAAAGTATACAAAATTAAAAGTTTAAAGAAAATATTTGCGAAACAATATTAATTCTCATAAAATAAATTCATGGCACAAAATAATAAATGTTTCCGCAAATGTTTTCAAAGGTGAAATTAACAGGCCAGGTCGTCAGGCAAAAGTTTTTCGATAAACCCAATA